CACAGAAACTGGGTACTCATGAGCTCTACGAGCCGCGGCCCATCAACCTTGAAACATCCACTGAAGGAGAACTGGCTGAGGCTATCAGTGATCTTGCGGTTGTGGTGTGCGAATACGGGCCTCATACAGCAGGTCACGAAGCGTTGCAGTACAGTGAGTTCAATGCTGCTCAAATTGGCCCGCAGCAATGGTTTGTCTGACCAGGTAATATGGCAGTGCCGTTCATCGAGATGATCAGAAAAATCATACTGGCTGTCAAGCGCGCCAAAACAGGATACTTCGTGATGGTCGGTGGAACTGGCAGCTTGCATGTGCCTCATGAAGACGGCGTTTGCGTGGCAGATAGCAAGGACTTTTTCTTGGCCTACCGCCGTGGGATTGCGGACAGTCATGCTCATGTCACATACATGGAAGAGAGGCTTGGACCGATAGGACAGGCCTTGAGATTATACCGCGACGCTCGTCTTCTCCTCAAAGAAGACAGAGGAAGTACCGACGAGAAAGAGGCAGCGCGTGAAACGATAAATGCCTACGAAGCTCAACTGAAAGCGCAACAAGACGCATCGAGCAGCTTCATCAAAGCTGCGCGAGCTAGTCTCATGTTTTTCGAAGGCAATACATCCTTCGACTGGACGTATGTATCCCCGAGCGCACTATATCGTCCCGGCAGGCGTACAGGAAGATACGAGATCACTATAAGCAATTTGCCGCTGAAGGATGGCCCTGATGGGGACAGTCCTCTGGATGGGAAGTTGCTGGGGATTTCGGCAGCGGATCTTGCCATAGCCATTTCCGACGAAATCGAGTCACGAAAGCACAAGCAGCAGCATTGGACAGCTACCGGGGACTTGACAGATGACACCCCCGCTCCATCGTATTTGACATTGAATTGAATGGAATGACTTTTTCCTTGCATGAAACATACTGTACCAATACACCCAGTGATATGTGAATGCGGAGATCTAATGTGCCTACTTTATCCATGTTGCTCTTTTGCTGTGTTTGGGGCTCGACCGCTATACCCCGAGTTGGAGACAGCCCGCACCGATGTGGAGTACGCTGAAGTTCAGGCAGTTGGTGTACCGTGGCTTCGTGATAACAGAGGCAGCCCCGGCCGCTGTGGTTCCCCCAAGGACCTGATCAATCTAGACTTCTACAACAAACGCGACAACGCAACGCAAAAATGTCTGCCTACACTGTTAGCGATTCAGAATTCCAGCAGTTGGAGGGCAAAATCATCTTGGTCACTGGAGGTGCAGCCGGCATTGGAAGAGCCATTGTCGACCTTGCCCATCGTAAGCAACACAGTATGAGCTTTTAGCGCTGTGCTGACCGTTCCGTGATAGGGCATGGGGCAAAAGTAGCATTCTGTGATGTTGACGAGACTCGAGGAAAGCAAGTTCAGAAAGAGCTCGGCAAGTAAGTCGCATTATTGTCTATGGCCTTCTTATGAAACTCCCCATGCAAGGCACGATGTTTGGCTCATGCTCAAGCGTCAACAGCGTCTTCTTCAAAAAATGTGACATCTCGGACTGGAACGACCTTGTCAGCTTCTTTCAAGATGTTCATTCAGAGCTTGGTCCCATTGATACCGTCATTTCGAATGCAGCAATCAACAAAATCGAGACACTTGACGAGCCGGGCTCTGGGGCAGACTGGTATCTTCAAAAGCCAGATGTTTCGGTTCTCAATGTCAACATGGCTGGCACTTGGTATGTGACCAAATGTGCCATTGGTTTCTTTCGCAAAAACCCGGAAACGAGATCTCAACTGGTTCTATTCGGGTCCGCTGCTAGCTTCTTCGATACACCACCCTGCTACACCTACTGTGCCAGCAAGGCGGCTGTTCTGGGTCTTATGCGCGCTATGCGGACTCAATTGCCGGAGATGAACATTACTGTCAATATGATCGCACCTTGGATGACAGGTGAGTGCGCCCTTACCCCCTGAGGATTGCTCGAGCAGTTCCCGAATGCATTGACACGAAGCTGAACCTTGTAGATACGGAGATGGTCACCGACCATATCAGAAGTATTTGGAAGGAGTTACCTGCAAATACGCCAAAGGACGTTGCCACAGCAAGCCTGCTACCTGCTATGCGACCTGAAGTAAATGGAAAGTCTTTCTTCATTCACGGCGGGAATATCAGTGACCTGGAGGACAAGCTTGACGAGACTCAACCTCTATGGTTAGGAACCGAACTCGATAAGCAGATGAGAGAAGGGCAGCGTAGACTAATTCCCTAGTTAGATTACGAAGTGAGGGCAAGGACATGGCTGTTAGTTATTGTTAGTGTTCCTTCCATCTTATGTTTGCGGAACGGAATCTATGTCTACTCTTGGTACGAATAGAAAACTGCAGAATATGTTTCCCTCAATGTTGCGATCTCTCAAGAGTTACATTCGTATTCCCACTCAATGTACTGACAAAGGGATACGATGTGAAATGCAACCACTCCAAAAAACGAGACGTTATTTGATAGTACCTAGGGAGACATTCATATTCGTAACGGGCTTGACATCTAAGCAGTTCGCCAGACTCTTGTACAAATAAGCTCATGAGTTGATCAATGACCTTCTTCGAAGTTCTTTTCCCTCAACGCGCTATACTCCCTCCTGATAATTTCTTCATGTGCGACAGAGCGGCATGAAATGGAGCATTCGAAAGGCTCAGGAACACTCAGAAAGCCTGGCATCATTCGAGTTGTGGGGACCTTTTTTCCCCCGTTGAGATCTTCTTTCCGCTCAATATTGAATCCCCACAAGATGCGAGAGATAGCAATAAAGAGTGACTTCTCAGCTAGATGGACTCCAGGACATGCACGTCTGTCTACATGTTAGTCATGTGCATGTACCGTCATTCCAAGACAATCAGGTTCGGGATGAAGCTACGTACCGGCCAGCACCATAGGAAAAGTGATCGCGCTCATAGGGATCCTGCGAGTTCATGTACTCCGCTGCAGAGAGTGGACTGTTGAGGAACCGAGATGGATCGTATTCATCGGCATTATCGTAGCGACTTGGATCACGCTGGATAGCCCTGAAAATTTGGCACTAAGTGTTAGCCGAATTTCTCGGGAACATGTGGATTGCATGTAGTTACTCACCACCAATTCAGGACGACTACAGAGTCCTTCGGGATGAAGTGTCCTTCGTACCAATCGTCCTCGGTGGAAGCGTGATACATCCCAAATTTGTTGACCGGGCGCCATCGCAAGGTTTCTTTGATCATCGCCCGAACGTAAGGAAGATCTTTCTCATCTTCCCATGTGGGCATCCGGTCGCTTCCGACGACATGATCGATCTCTTCTTGACCCTTCCGCATTGCTCCGGGGAAAAGAGTCATGGCCAGGGTCCAGTTGTTGATAGTCGTAGCTGTTGTCTCGGAACCCGCCTCTACCAGACCACCGCAGGTATACGCCGCGAGCAAGTCGTCGATGCCGTTCTTTTTGGGGTCACCGAGGTAAAAGTCCTTGCAGAAGCAGTCCTTGGCAGTGCCGTCGTCCGTTGTCTTCTTCAAAGCCTCCCAAAGCTCAAGCCAAATCTTGCTGTCGTGAGCGAAGGCTTTCTTTCCCCAGGTGCGCCAGTTTCCCAAGAGGAACTCGGGAAGATTAGCGAGGCCGGGTAAACTCTCGACGGCGAAGGCACCAGCAGCCATCATGATGGAAAGATTTTCCAGAACGCTGAAGATCTTGGAGATGATCGGGTCTTGGAAGGAAGGAATGCGGTACCCATAGGTAGCTAGCATGATAACAGAGGTAGAATAGCGCCGATTGATGGTGTAAAACTCATCGGGCTGATCTAATAGATCATGAAGGACCACTTTTGACTCTAGGTCTTGCGATGGCATGTATCTCTTTGAAGCATTCAAGTTGAGAAGTGCGTGGCTGTGTTTTCTCAGGTTCCTCCAGTCTTGCCCGTATGCCATGAACAGTTGTCGAGACTTTCCACTTGCAACATCCTGCGCTAGCGGGAGATGCGGCCGTGAGGAGTATATTGCCGACTTCTTGTCCATAAGATCTTTGACAGCTCTTGGTGATGAAAGCCAGATATAGTCGGTCGCCCCGACTTTCGTGTAGAAGATATCGCCGTAGGTGCGATGCCATTCGCGGACTTTTTGGCGCACAAGTTCTGAGTCTGCGAGGTCGTAGAGATTTCCAATGATTGGGAGACCTCGAGGTCCGGGTGGTAATTTCTTCCTTCGTGGATCCTGTCAAAGACTCTTGATCAGCATGTTTAAGTTCGATGGAGAAACATGTACTCACTGTCAACTGATTTGGAACATAGCGAAGATAACAACCAAGCAGAATCAGAAAGATTGTCAGACCAATACCCCCGATATGAATTGAGCCTTCTTTCGGAAGAATAGGCATATTTGGTAAATGAATGTTCACGAATTTCATTTTGTGGAAGGGAATCTGAGCTGTGAAACTTGGCTGGATGGATATCTAGTATGATGTAGATAATCGACGAGTGATGAACAATTCCATCTATGAAATCTTTGAGTAGCACTAGCCAGTCTCAGAAGAACTGAGCTAGACTTTGATTCACACAAGACCGCCCATCCGTATGGGCCTACATAATGTGGGGGGCAGGGGTAGTGTCTGGGGAGCTACAACAAGCCCTGGTAGATGCGGGGAGCTTCGAAACTCTGCTGCTTCGTGTTAGAATCCATGTCACTGGGGAATGCAAACCTCATCCTGAGTGAGTGAAATTTTGAGGAAGGAAAACAAGGAATAGTCGGAGTGATTTTGAGACGACTCGAGTTGATCTCACGCAGCCATTACCTGCTGTCACCATTCTGTCGGTCCTGACCAGCTTACGTCGGCAGTCACCAATTCATCACGATCATAGGCCAATCTCACAGAATAATACATGATAAAACCCAAAGAAAATATCAATCTTCGACACGTCTATTGGCGTTTATTGCATGTATCGAAAACTGTCTTACTATCCGACTCCGTGGATGCATAACACCCCGCAACCGACTTGACCACATCCTTACTTCTTCTTTTCTTCGTTCCAGGCAATAATGACCTTTTCGGCAACTTTGAACCCCTCGATACCAGCTGGCATTCCACAGTAAATAGCCGCTTGCAGCAGTGTCTCCCGAATCTCTACTTCACTCGCTCCGTTGTTCAGTGCTCCACGGACATGAGCTGCAAGCTCGGGGGCTCTGTTCAGAGCGCATAACATGGCAATGTTTAAGAGAGATCGCTGCTTTCTCTCCAAGCCTGGCCGAGCCCAGACCGAACCCCAGCAAGCTTCTGTGACGAGCTCTTGCATCGGCCTGGCAAAGTCGGACGAACCACCAGCCAGAGCTGCGTCGACGTAAGAAGTCCCTGCGACCTCATATCGGATCTTCAGTCCTTTGTCGTAAAGTGTCTTGTGAGCTTCCGCCTCTTTCGCAGTGTTTGCTGCAAGCTTGTCGGCCATGTTGGTGTTTTCAGTTGCTGACGGGCCGACGTGTGGGTTGTTTGAGAGTTGATACGCTGTGAGAATGGTCCGGGATCTGGAAACGTGCTGGTGAACTTTGGGCCCAGCTTGCTGGCACGTATCGTGCGACTGCTGCTACCTTAGTTGGGTTTACATGGAGGTCTCATTTCAACTACCAAATTACCACAGGGAGGCTGCTTACATGACGGATGTGATTTTCCGGACCCCTTCCATATTCTTACCCCATATCAGAGCGAACACTCTCCCCACATAACCCCACATCACCACGGAACGGAGACCCGAATGCACCCCGCATTATGGTGGCGGGGTCCTGCTTCCGTGCCGTCACTTCGTAAACCGGAGTGGGGAATCGGCATTGTAGGTCTGAACTAGCCATGCCCTTGCTTGACTCGGGCATTGGCTGTAGCAAAGTAGCTCGCAGGGAGGAAGGTGCAACGGTTTCACTGGGAGTCTGCTGGGCATGTTCAATTAAAGAGACGGTTGAGGCAGTTGAGCCCCCATGAAATTGGAACATCTACTGAGTTGGACCAATGAGGACAGGGCCTTCTCTAACAGAGCAGTCTGGTTGTAGAGAGTTGTTTGCATTAATCGGAAACCAGGAAATAGATCATAAAATTCAGAACGAGTCAACATGAATATTCTAGAAGGGTGCTCTGAGTTTACCCAGATTCAATCAACTTGCCACTCCTCGTTGCCTCCAATGTATCTGTAAAGCACGCGAGAGTCAAGATCGCGACATTTGGAATCTTGACTCGCCTCCTTGTAGGCTCTGAGGCCAACAGCACCAAGAATCAACTTTGCGTCAACCTTATCCGCCATAGACACAGCTAAGCCAAAGTCTTTTGCCATCAACTGAATCTTGAAGCCGCCTTGATACCCGTGACTTGCTGGGGCATTTGGACAGATGCCAGGCACAGGATTCCACTTGTCGCAGATCGTGCTTTGTGCAGTACTGTTGGAGAACACGCGCGCGAGGAGTCGAGGATCGATGCCCGCTCTCATCCCGATGTTCATGGCTTCGGATGTTGCAAGTGAAATGAGCGCCGAGCAGTAGTTGTTGCAAAGCTTTGCCGTAAGACCCAAGCCTGGGCCGCCACATGCAATGATATTCTTGCCCATGAGACCCAGTAAGTCGCGAATTTCTGGCCAGTTCGGATTTTTTTCGGAGCAACCAGTCATCAGAGTCAATGTAGCGGCTTCCGCACCGAGGGTGCCGCCAGATACAGGTGCATCGCAGAAGAATGTGGATGGAAAGTGGGATTTGATAGTGTTTGATACCAGCTGGGACGTCTCCGTGTCGATAGTTGAGCAATCGATGAGCAAGCGGGACTTCAGCTCAGGACCCAATATCCCGGTGTCTGGGTCCAAGTAGACGGTTTTCACATGGCTGCCCTCTGGAAGCATTGTGAAAACTATGTCCTATATTCCAATGTTAGTCACGCGAGGTGGAGGTAGTGAAATATGATTGACCCGGTGTCAACTTACAGCCTTTTGTGAAACTTCTCTCGGAGACTTGCACCCTGTGATATCCGCATTCTTTGCCTGATCGATGAGTTTCTTCATGGAGGTCTCTGAGATATCGTAGACGTATGTTTGAGAACCCTTCGCCACCTTGGCGACGAGATTGGAGGCCATGGGCAAACCCATAGCCCCAAGGCCAATAAATCCTAGGCTTAGTGGCTGATCCATGACAAAAAAGAAGAGCGTGCAATGAGGGGAAGGAGAAGTTTTTGGGTGCGCATGAGTGTAGGTAGTTCTCTTCTTGTTGATATCTCTAGAAGATATATGGATCCAGTTCAAGGTATGAAGGCTTGCTCAAGTAATCAAGCGAGTCTGAGGTAGGTAGGTCGTTGGGGCGGGGTAAGGAAATAGGTAGCTACTATGGTCAGACCGTCAGCGGGCAGATTCGCAGAGCACATCTCACAGAACGAGAGGGCACGTGAAACAAGCGTAAATTTGGAGAGTCGGAGACACAATTGATTCTTCAGAAATCTGACTGACGCGGTGAACCCTTTAATAATTGCTATACGGTTTGTGTCTTGGGGCTCAGTTTATCTTGCCAGGGAAAAAGGCTCCTTGGTGATCTTGTGCCCAGACTGCGTCATGAGCAAAAACTACCTGCAATACGAGATTGCTTTGCTTTGAGGCTTCTCGCAACGTCGAAATGCTGTTGAGTGTGTCCGTAGCCTCTCTTTTGTTCATATGGATACAACAAGCTCGACCCTCACCGTCTTCCCACTCAGCTATCTGCATCTCGCCTGTCAACAACCGAGCGTCGTGACAAGCATCGCCGATAAGCATCACCCAGGATTGAGGTCCTACTCTTGCAAGAAGTCCAAGATGTCCAGGCAAGTGGCCTGGCAAATCGACAGCAAACAAGGAACCATCGTCGCTTCCCCCAATATCCAGTATTCTCAATCCCTCCAAATTCTTCCAACCATTTGTGAATCCTGCTGCGTCTACGTGTTCCCTGGGGCCCGTGATCTCTTCAACCCTGAGGCCGTCGAAAAGATCAGACTGGAAATTGGAATGAGACATATGCCCATTCATCCCCTGGCTAAGCAATTCAAGCGATCCTTGACCAACTCGAAAGCGAGCATTGGGAAAGTCGGAAGGAGTTCCAATATGGTCCCAGTGGACGTGGCTGAGTATAACTTCGTCGATAGCTGCCACATCAAGACCTCCATCGATCAGGCTCTGTCGGACGTCCGGTAATAAGGTCATCGGCTGACGATTCTTTGTGTGGTTTTGTATCGGCGTAGAATAGCGACCAATATCCCGTCTCAAGCCCAGATCGTAAAGAATGCGTCGATGACCCCCTTCGAATGAATTCTGCGAGATGAGGAAAGAGAGTGATGGCACAAGCGAGGTCTCGTCCTCAGACACCCCCGCAACGAAGAACCGCTTGGGGAGGGTGAACTCGCCGCCTCTGAGAGCGGAGACTTGGACCTCCCCCCGTGCTTTCGACTCCAGATCTTTAAGGGCAACTGCCATTCCATCGGATCTGGACATGTTGATTCGAATTTCTTGCGTATTTCGAGATGAGGCCGGTGGGTGAAGAGTATAGGTAAGACGTGTGGGTGCCAACAATTCAGGCGGCGATAGACCGGTACTTGCGGGGTAGCTGTATGGCCCAATCCTGCGTCTCCGTGCCAAACTTCAGGACTTAGCTGGGATTCAGGACCTCCGCGACTGATCTGTATCGAAGCTTCTGAGAACGCATCTAGATACAAATGTATTCCCTTCGATCCGCCCTTTCACGATCCGACTAGCATGTCATATCCTGCCCATCCTCGACCCATCGAATCTCCACACGAGGATGGTCAACTCCGACGCCACACTTCCTGATGCCACCGTGCTTGAAGTTCATTTGGCAGAATGCGATTGACCTACGACTGAATTTGTTTTCCCCTTCAAACCCCTTGGAGTCATGACAATGTACATCGCAACATGTGGAGAATCTCTGCATCTAGATCCCTTGGTGGAGGGAGTGAGATGAGTTTAATGTATGGTTCCCAAGCCATCATTACAGCGCTTGAGGTAGTTGACCACTAGCAATACACGTTTTGCAACAAAGAGATTTGTTGTAAACTTCCACCCGTCTTTTCCGCGTTGTACGTCACGCCGGTAGGTTTACGGCAGCTGGCATCATACGCGTCTTGATACGCATCGGCCAGTTGGCTCAGTATTCCTCCCATCCGTGGCGTAATGCCCCACACCCAGACCTAGGAAGTTATCAGTATATCAGTTTGCAACGATGCATGAAAACAAAATAGTATCACCTACGTCTGACAGAAACCAGCCCCACGTCCTGGCGATTCCGGCAGCAAGAGTCGTGCCCTCCCCGATATCGCACTCGGCCTCATCTAGAGTCTCTCTGATCAAGGCTAATAGCTCCAGCTCGCTCTGAATTGGCTGCATCCCGGCTATCTTGTCCTGTTCTATGGACTGAGCCCATTTTGATACTAGAAGAGCTGTTTGCAGCAAGGAGATCAGCATCATGAACGGACCCTCCCAATCAGCTGGAAGGGTTATCTCGAATTCACTTACCACCCGTCCACCCTGCCACAGCATGCTCAACACTCCATCGAAAAGCGGCAGTCTTCCGGACCAGAAGATGCCCCATCTTGACTGGAACAACCATGCCTTCGAAGGCCTTCGAAACCATCTTGAGAATGTGGGAGCTTCGTTCCATCCTGCCCATAATGAATGATGACACGCATGACCCTACGTCCCTATCCTCAAGGCTCAACAAGCTGATTCGACAGGGAGTGGTGGATATTTTCGACAGCTTTGTGTAGGCTATGCGCAAGACTGCCTGGCAGTTGAATACAAGCGAGATTTCTTTGTCCTTCTCGTCTTCTTCTGGACGTGGTTGTCGTAACTCGCTCCTGACGCCTTGGAGAAAAGCATCGCACCGAGCCAACGACTGCATAGCACCGTTGAGGAGCGAAGCTCTCAGAGGGTCTTGTTCATCACCAATATCATTCCTTGCAATCGGACATGTTGAAGCGAGGGCCTGGCAGACTTGTAATCTCTGCCACATGTGAACGACGACCGCATGGGTCAAGACGAGGGCAGTAAAGGTCGACACGCGGTACGGTACCGTGTCGGCATGATACCTTCCTTCAAGTAGAATGTCAACAAGTACATCTTTGATTGTGTGTCGTCGACTGTATGGCGAGCTTTTCGAGGCAGCTGTCCGAAGCTCTCGCCACTCTGCAGGTGACCTCGCGTTCCACATCTTTTCATCTTGATACGCTTCGATATCCAGATCTTGGGTCGCATGAAATCCAGGATTGACGTCGTAGATCACCATAGTGAGGGTACTCTCTATGAAGATGCCCCCCAGCGCGCGCTTCCACGACTCTAGCTCTATCCACGTGTGCCACGTCATCTCGGATGGTTCTGTTTCAGTGTTTTCTACCGCAGTTCGAGCTTTGTTATAAACCTTTGAGATTTTGAAAGACGCTAGTAAGTATCATTGTCTCGAAGTAGTCTTCTATCGCTCATGAAGGTGCAGATTGACTCACCAAGGTGTAGAAGCCATTGTCCTTCATCGTTGCGTCAACGAGATCCTTCTCCCCGCTCATGACTGCGTAAAAGCTAAGAAGAATTTTCGCTTGCACAAACCAAAGGAAGTAGTCCTTTACCATGGATTTGGAATCGTCCTTGGTTGGTTGAGGCACCTGTTCCACACTGCGGATTGACAAGTCATAAAGATGACGCGCCCGACGTCGGTCTAGGCGATAGAGAGCGCCGATGGAACAGATGGAAAGCACCAAGGGGCCCGGAGTGTGTGCCAAATCAAAAGTTTGCATATGAATGATCGGAAAGTGGCTATGAAAACTCGTCATGTAAGCAGATAGGAAGCCCTGCAACGTTTTGGCAGTGGGCAGTTGGAAGTCTCCAGCTGCTATTCTCAGCCGCGAAGACATGTCTTTGCGAAGATACGCACACGTCTCTTCGTCAAAGGTCACGGTCGGATATTGTTGACGCCCGTCTTCGAGTAGAGAAGGGAGATCGCTGCTAGCCGAGGGTATTTGGCAGCTAGCCCATCCAGGGGGGGCTCCGCTTGAAGGGTCTTCAGTATTGGGATGGCGTGGAATTCGTCTTCGATCATCTCTCTGCTCCGCGGTGTCACCTGGTATGGGCGAGAGGTCAAATGCGCCCATGCCGAGATGGGCCAGTGTTCTCGGTGAAAATAGCTCGTCGTTTTCCGTGGATGGATCAGCAGCACCGCTCTTCTCCGGTGGATTTTGTGGTTGACGAGGGGGTTGTTCTCGTAAAGCGCCAGTCTCAAGCCCGTTTTCTGCTGGATATTCACTTGGCATCTCCATGGCAATACTTTCAAAGGGAAGATCCATGTTCATGAATAACGCTGGGTCTAGCGGTGGCAACTCTTCAACTGGATCGACGTCGTGGAAGTACTGAAGCTGCAGCAAGTTTCCTTCCTGTTGAGCATCATGCTGGAAAATGTCTGCGGGACGACTTTCGGTGGCTCGGTTAAGAGTACTTGGATCCCTGCGCGTCTCGAAGGATTGGTCAGTTAATGGCTGAAACGACATCAACATTCGTTCAAGTTCGATGTCGGGATCGGCTGCTTGCCGAGAGTATGACTTCCGTCGTGAGTTGGCTCGGCGCCGTTGACTGGAACATGGTGATGTTGTGGAAGAAGCGACGCCATCGTCTGGCGACTGTGAGTCTGGAGATTCCTGGCCGGATCTTTCGTCTTCCTCTTGGTCTATGTTCATGTAGTCATCGCCTTTCGACGGAGAGAACACTGTTGCTTGCGCCAGTGGCGCGCATGCTACTGTCACCACATCTCCAATCTTTTCTTTTGCTTGCTCCTTCGCATGCAGAGTGCGCTCGTGTCTCGTAACAAGGTCCCTAGAAGCTCTCAATTAGCAGAAAGTCTTGTGGCTTGTCCGAGATCGGAAAGCTTCTGCCAATACGTACTTCCTCGCGTATGACTTGTGACAGTATCGACACACGTAAGGCTTCTCGTGCGTATGGGTTCTCTCGTGACGAATGCAGTGCTCGCTGCGCTTGAAGGCTTTCGAGCAGTGCGCGCACTTGTACTGGCGTCGTGGTCGACCTCTTCGCGCGGCGCTGGAGGGACTTCCTTCGGGCCCTGAAGACATGGACGTTTTGATTCTATGCTCCCTTTCTCTGAACGCGGTGATCTCGTCTCGATTGTTTACTTCCGTCGATTCGAATAGCTTCAAGCAGTGGATTGGTAGCCTCAATTGCCATAATGTGGTGTTGGCAAGGAACAGTGCGGGCAGATCGGATTCCTGAGATGCCGACAGAGGCCGGGCTTGACTTGCGGGGGGACCAGGACATCCCCTACATTCTTCTCCGCACCTGATGCGTATTGACCCGTTAGTGTCCTGGGAAGTCTGAAATCCACGGCGTGCGACTCGCTGATGGCTGATGAATCAGGGCTGTGTCAGCTTCTTCCGCAGCGATGGGCCCCATCCTAGCGTCACATCTCATGCACCAAACATTCGGCAGTGATGGGAGGGCGAACCCAGCAAGCTTTACGGCGCCTTCTGCACCCCAGAAGCCGCTAAGTGAGGTTTATATTGGCAAAGGCTGGGGAAGACTGCGGGGAAGTGGCAGGGGCCAACGCTCACAACTTCACAAGCGACTAGGTACTCAAATAGCATGATGTGAGGGATCGTTTCTTAGCTACTACTTATCTGCCCAGGAAGAATTAGTTCCCGACGCTCTATGGCCTTCCGTGTGCTTTTATTCTGTTCAGGACAGTGTCATCAAACATGGGGTGTAAGATTGACATCAACACAGCATCGCTGCCATCCTTGATGAACTCGGCATCATGGGCCATCGCAATGTGCATCCCATACTCCTCGGCTGCTTTTCTGAGTCTGGAAATCGTATCAAGTGCTTTGTCTAGATCTTCATGCAAGCAGAATCGGGATCCGTCGTCCATTTTGACGTTGGCGATTTCTCGGCGACCAAGAAAAATATCCCTGCTCGGAAGTAAGCCTGTTGTTCAGTGACGGTCGGAAGATGAGTCCATTGCAAGAGGCTCTTTGAAGGACGGCGTGGAATCCCTCAGGATGACGATAGTTGACGGATATGCACTGACCTTGAATGACAGCAGTCACTTGCCATGACAATGCGTTCGCCTGATTCTAAATAGGCGCATGCTGCGAGATTTCCTGCCATATGTCCAGGGGCTTCGATGATCCAAAGACTGCCATCTCCGAAATAATCCAGTGCTGATTCGAATGGTCCCCAGGACTGCCACGAGCCTTCGAGCTCTTGAAAATTTTCCGTCCGAAATTTGTCATCGCCGAAAATCCGAGAGTCCCATTGAACCATCGGCTGGATTTCGTCATTCTGGATATGCCCTGGAGAGCAGTGTAAAGCTGTCCCGCGGCCAAAGATGACCTTGGCGTTGGGGAATTCGTCTTTGATCGGACGACAGTGGTCCCAATGTGCGTGACTGCTGGCCGGTTAATTGTCCTGGCATTCGAATAAACGTCCTTGGATTTGCCCATAGAAATACCTGAAGAGCACTGTATCAATGTCCGAAGTTTTCACACCAATGTCTTGCAACTGTTCTGTAAGCCGTCGACGTGGTCCAACTGGATTGCAGCTCGTCCAGTGGTAATTCAACACGAACGGGGTATACATTTGCCGGTTCTGTTGGACGTCAAAGCGTGAGTATTGTACATCAGTCTAATTCTCTCGACTTACATCACTAATACCAAGATCCCAAAGGATCTTGCGGCCTGACGCTCTATGATGGATGTAAAAACACCAGTTGTAGAGGAAATATGGCCTGTCATGCCCATCTGCGTGGATCTTTGTGTCGTCTGTTGTAGTGAGACCTCCGCCATCAAGTAAGGTCAATTCGACAGCACTACCCGAGAATGGAAGAGTTTTGATGCCCTTCATGTTGTTTCGATGAGAATATGTCTTGCCGCGAAATTTCCTTGGTAGTTACCCCAAGCCATCATGCGACCAGAACGGATGCGACCTGTCTTCATATAATAATGCATCAAGCTACCTCCACGTCAAAGCTCCCCCGCATTGTCTTGCGTGGCATTTTGCATGTAAACAAAGCCACCAGGGTCCTTGTTCCTCAATTTGAGGCCCTCATTTCAACACTCTCGTTGGGATGGCGAGGTGCAGCACAGGATGGCCAATGTTGTTGCATGGCGAAGAAAGAATTTGCATGGATTGTCATCCACTTACTTGATTGCTTGTTGCTTCAATTTTCTCAAGCTGGTTATTTGTGAAACATTGGTTATTACCGCCACACTCTTTGTTTGCTCAATAGTTTCATGTTGCAAGCCCTTACCTCTCGACTTTCTGTTTGCTCACCGCCGTTTCCGCTTTACCACGTGGTAAAAGGCATTCATTTCGGTAGATAAATCCCAGCCGTGTCCTAGGTACTTGAACCTATGATAGCATCTGGCTCACGGGGAAGATATTTCCTCAGCAGAGAGCGATATGATACACTCTCAATGCTCTTGAACATAAATATTTAGTCTCACTTATCTTCATACTGCAGAATTCTATTCTGATACATGTAAAGCTGAATACTCAGAGAGCTGGTTTCGCCTGTGCGTCGATATCGAAAGCCTTGTATCCCGTAAACAGACTATCAGGATCCCACCGCCTTCGGATCTCCATGAAGCGAGCACGAGCTGAATCCGTCCATACTTTGATCTGGAATCACCTTGGTGTCAACGGTGTTGTCGGCTAGGTTCAGTAAGGAGAGAACACATACCTTAGGTGAATGCAAGGAGTTCTTGGATTGGTCAAAGTCGGCACTGTAGATCCCACAGGCAACTGCTCCAGCCTTTTTGTACGAGGCCCGCATGGTTTCTCGTACTCGGGGCACAAGAGCAGGGTCCTTCCAGCCACTGAATGTTGATATATAGTATTGCTGAGGAATACTGAAGACAGCATCTCCCTCATCTGGTTTGATAGTGTCGCAGATATATATGCAGCCAAAAGATGACTTCGTTGGCAACTCGCACATAGCGGGCTTGATGGCCTCAATTAACTAAACCGCAAATTAGCAGTGAATTAGCATCGGATCGCATTTGTCATTTGAAATTTAGGGTGGTTTTCCGTACCTTTGGAAGGGACACCGAAGGACAGTTGAGGATACTGTTGATTCCCCATTTCTGGCCCGGTGATTCGGGATTGATCTGTCGCTGAAGCTCGAAAAACTCCTCCCAGCTCGCTTCTACCGTGACCTTTTCCTCAGTAAGGCAGCCTTTGATGTTCTCAGGGACTACGTCCCAGACTTCTAACATTGCAGCAGCCTCGGCCAAAGTATCGGCGTAAGCGCAAACATTGATAGCCATCACTAAAGGTGATGATTCGGGAACAACTTCCGCCGCTTCACTGTCAAACAACTCCGGGTGAAGTACGCAGATGGCCGACTCGGTAAACTTTCTTGGCATAGCGTCATTTCGTTCGAAAGCAAATGTGATTAAGTTTTCGAACTTATCGCCAACAGTGAATGTTGTAGATCGCCAGAATAGTCGTTTCTTTGGTATAGTCCGACTCCAGATTCGGGTCACAACTCCAAAGAACGCTTGCCCGCCGCCTCGAGCAGCCCAGAAGAGGTCTGCGTTTTCCGTCCGGCTTGCTATCAATACTCTACCATCCGGAACAACAATCTCCAGTCGAACAATCCATTCTGTAATAGTAGCTCCCCATGCTCTCATGAAGAGACCTTGGCCGCCTGCTAGACAGAAACCTCCTAGTGCTACGTCAGGCGCATGCCCAAAAGGAAAGAATCTGCCGACGGCGTCTGTGGCCTTCCAGGCTTCATAAACGCGAATGCCGGGGCCCACCTCGACCTCCTCAGTGACTTCATCATATTTGACGTGGTGATTAATGTTGCTGACGTCGATAAGAACTCCGTTATGGACTAAGGAGGGTTTTGAAGGGAGGTGTCCTCCAGATCGAATGCCAACTGAGACCTTTAGCTCTCTGGCCCTGCGAAGTGCTTCGACGACATCCTGAGAGGTCTTTGCCACATGTATCTCAGTCGGATATCTGTCAGTCTCTTCTCTATTGAAGTACAAATTCCGTGCTTCTTCGTATTGTGCGGTTCCACGTCTAAGAGCGTGGCCTTCGTCAGGATTGGAAGATGACATGTTGAAAATAATTTTGCTCGTGATGCTGCTATGATCTACGTGTATTCATCGGGCAGGAGACATAGATTCAAGTAATATCTTTTCAATATGATTCAAAATTAGTCGCTGCTCGAGTTCAAAACTCGTAAATACCCCACATTGGGCCATCGTTGGCGGACAACCTATGTCAGAACCCAGCGGATGTGGGGGCGGGGATGGATCAACCGCTTGAGCCTACACGTATTCCTACCCCATGGTGCCGCGGGTGCTTATGCTAGGTCATTTTGATCGCCCTCTCATTAGATAATTCGTTTAGAAGAGCCTCGTAGTTAAGCATCAGGGGCGGTGCCATAGGGTTTGGGTCAAGAGCCCGCAACCTCAATCTCATCTCACACTTGTATTGTCGGGCCAAATCGTTCTTCATTTCGAAGACCGATAAGCGGCAAACAGCGGTGGACATTGAGAGAAATGCAGAATTGTCCACCAAGACCTCGTAGATTTTCCAATCGATTCTTTCGGGAAGGCCTACAAGCTTCGAAGTTGTCGAGGTAGGCCAACAGACACGAATTGACTTGAACATCAACATCGATGTGGTTGAAGGGCATGCGACGGAAGTTTGCAATTCTTTGAGATCGAAAGCATCAAAGACAATAGCATAGAATAGTCTCTTATTATCACTTAATATAATATATTGCTTGTTTAAAAAGAGGAAGACAAAATGATTCTTTCGATAGTTTCTCTCCGCCGCCGATAGAGGAAATGTTCGTTTCATCTCATCAAGCTTTGACTGAGACGACCCCGAAACGCTCCAGAGAGCACAGCACCGGCCATGTACGAGATGGACATCTGAGAAGCTGATTGGCTCACCTTACTTGATCTCCGGTCGTCTTGTCTTTTGATCAGATAAAACAAAAAATTGGTGGGAGCGAGCACCTCGTAGTTGGCGCTAGATACTAGATTGGCGGAAGTTTGCTGCGTGTCGGCAGCTTGCCACACCCTCCAAGTTCAACACTCTCGGCATGATGTTCTTCGGATCCCGAGCCAATTTGGAGTTAAGCTTCCCTTATGAGGCAGTCTCGATGCAGGTACGGTGCCTCGAGGGAGAGTCTACATCCCATGGTACGCATGTTTTGGCACGTTAAAATGCTCAACCTTCCCCAGGACACACTCCAACATATTTGTCTCTCTTAGAGCAGTTATTTGGTTCAAATAGCTTGCCACGATGCGATACCTCTGTCCTGTCTCTGCATTCCTGGGGTTGATGTGCCTGGCGGAAAGTAGGAGCTCATACGTCGCTGACTTGTCCATCTTGGCATTTGCCGGCACCCCGGTTGGGAAAGTTGTGCCTTTTAATGGCCGTAAGTGACTATTCTATGACTGAACATCGTGCTTAAGTATCGTATATTGACAAAAACAGTTGACCTCTACGTCTCGATGCCGCGCAATAAGAGCGAAAAAGGGCCAGATCCGATGCGACAATTTGGAGTTCTCATGCTGCCTGACGTTTTTGGGATCCAGTCGACGGAGAACATGCTGTGAGTAGACCGAGGATGCATGATTCTTCTTCAGCCTAGCTTTATACTTTCTAGTGATGACTGACCCTCTCAAAGTCTCGCCGACAGCTTTGCCCGCGCTGGCTACATCACTGTTGCCCCAGACTTGATGGACGGCAAGCCAAGAACCGAAGGGTCTATGTCAGGGTTCAACGCGAGCGAGTTTTTCAAGTCACATGGACCTAGCGTCACAGACCCCAAAGTCGAGAAAGCCATCACCTACATGCGAGAGCAAATGGGCGTCCGTCATATTGCATCGACCGGGTATTGTTTCGGTGGGAGATATGTCTTCCGAGCACTCGGGCTTCCCGACAACAAGGGAGTGCAGGTTGGGTTTGCTGCACATCCAAGCGCACTTGGCGACGACGAAATCAAGGCTATTAAAGGACCTGCAAGTCTGGCCGTGGCCGGTAAGCTCTATTCCAGGAATTATACATCTCCCTCCCTCATGAGTTCGGTGCGTCTTACGAGACTAACTTTTACGCCGCACAGAGGGGGATACTGGTATGTTGACAAAGAGAAGGGTGGAGATTGAAACAGCCATGGGAACCACTGGTCAACCGTTCACGATGGCACTTTATGGCGGAACACCTCACGGCTTTGCTACACATCCTGATCTCAACAATCCTGTGCAAAAGGCTGCGAAAGAAGATGCTTTTCTCCAAGCGGTTCGCTTCTTCGAGACATGGTTATGAGAACATCGGTTCACTCAAGTAAATGAACATGCTTGCATACAGCTATTGGCAAGTACCCATTTGTTCAGGGGTCCTGAACAGCTAGAGAAAGGGCATGAGTCATCGCTATGGCACTACTTAATCATTCAATCAACTGTGTTACACTACCACCCCTTCGAGTGGCTACGAGACGTGCAAGACTGGAGCCATGTTTTGCAAAAGAAATTAGAACAACATATATCTATCTTAAATGTATATTCGGAATCGCCCAGCAACATCATTTTCGTTATGGGACATGTTGAACCAATATCCCGGTACGTAAGTTTCGGTTGTCAGCGGGCTGCATTAGCGTGCATTGGGGGCGAACGGTGGCTGACAGTGGAGCTGTTCATATGCTCGAGTTTGGCAGTAGAGATCGTGAGATCTAGTGAGAAGTATCAAAGCAATGACGTGACACAGAGAAGGTCTCGATTATTTATAGAAGGTCTCGTCTACCATCGCGTTCACCTCATCCCATGCTCACTTGTTCCTCACTGTTGTGTTCTTTTGCTACTCTTTGCTTTCCTCACCTCGAGGCCCATTGAAGCCATATCTTGAACCCGATAGTCTACATTACCGAAATGTCTCTCACATTCAGCGAGAAAGTCATCATTGTGATTGGCGCTGCATCTGGAATGGGCTTAGCTACCGCAAAGACTCTACTTGATGAAGGTGCCAAGGTTGGAATGTCTGACGTCAACAGCGCGGCTCTTGAAAATGCAGTCAAGGGACTTGGCTCAGAGCAACAAGAGAGAGTCTTCTCTAGAGCCTCAGATGTCACAAACCGTGCATCAATCCGCAGCTTCCTAAGACAAACAAAGTCGCATTTTGGCAAGGTCGATGGTGTCGCCAACTTTGCCGGTTGTGGTGGCCATGAATTGGGCACCCAGTCGGTCTGGGAAACCAGCGACGCCGAATTCGACTTCATCACCAATCTCAATATCAAGGGAGCATTTCATGTACTCGCTGAAGCTCTTATGCCCGACTTTCTATCTCACGGCGGGAGTTTTGTTCATGTTGGAAGCATGTTCTCACTCCAAGGCTTCCTGAAGGGTGCGGTATTTGCCGCTTCCAAGCATGCGTCCCTGGGTATGGTTCGCAGTGCGGCTAAAGAAGTCGGCGACAGAGCCAGAGTCAATTGTGTGTTACCGTAAGTCATTCGCACTCTTCCATTTGGTTGAATGATGCTGATGAAGCGGCAGTGGTGCTATTGACACGCCGATGCACCAAGCCAATTTGGCTAGAGTTCCTAAGGACTTTCCTGCCCCAACACTCGTAGGGAAGGCCCAAGAAGTAGCCGATGTGACCGTTTTCATGCTCAGCGACAAGAGCACTTTTGTCAATGGAGCCGCTTGGAGTGTTGACGGGGGTGCCGGTCTGTGATCAAGCCCATGCTCGCATCCCGCAATTGCAATTGGTTCGATTGGTCTTCGGACAACTCCCTTGCAACAGCACGACACTGTCTTCTACTTCAGACCTGCACTCAATGTAAGCTGAATATTATCATGCAAGTCAAGACCTTAGCACTTTCATTTTCATAGTGAATGAATCTTGACTCTGTTCACTTGATTTGAGACAAATCAATGACTCTCTCTTTTGGTCCTTTGTGAACATCTGTTTCATATGTCATAAGGATTTTTTCATTACTGCTACTATTTCAATAGAGCTCCAGTCCGAACTGAGGTAGTTTTCACTTCATTCCTCCGTCCATGGCTGTTGGATGAAGCCGCTCCTTCCGTTCGAAGATTTCATGCCCTAAACAGCCACTCAAAGAGTAGCCTCCTTCGCGTCCTCGCCGATCAAGAAAACAGGCTCCTTGTTGCTGTAGTTGGGGACGTCCTGCATGACCTTGGCCGTGTCGGGTGAAGCGAGCGCCTTGTGAATGCTCTCAACGCTGTCGAAGGTGAGAATGCCGGCGAAGGCGTACTTGGGCTGCTTTCCGTCGGGGGACGCCGAGTACTTGGTGACCTTCCAGGACTTGACGCCGGCGGACTTCCATGTGGCAGCGGCCATGGGCATGTGGCTCTCGACGTAGTAATCGATGTTGTACTTGGCATCGGCCTCGTTGGGGTAAAGGACAGAGACAGTGGCAGGCATTTTGTCGAGTTTTTTGTTTTTTGTTCAGTTGCCTGGACGAATAACGCGTTTGGGTTGTTGGCGAGTGAGTGATTGGAGCTAAGTCTGTTGATAGGTATTTCGAATTGAATTAATCGTTGTGACTCAAGTCTAGACCGCCGGGATCCGAAAGGGATAAATACCTCCGCCCGCCATCCCCTCACTGACGTAAGACACAACTACGTATTTCCATTGGGCGGAGACACGGCTTACCAATTCTCCCTTCTGTCGCAGTCTTTTAGGTTTCCACTCCGTGGATTCCGGTGCGAATGGGGGCACTTGACAGCGTGCCAGGTGGAGCGGATTCGGGCGCTCCGTGCTCCGTCTCTCGAATCTCGACTTGATCTCCCGTGCCTCGGCATGCCTCGGACACACGGAGTTCTGAGCGGGGAAGCTTGTTTTGCTAAACCCCGCTTCTCAATCAGTCGGACTATCATAGTAATCAATGATACCAGTTGATTGACATGGAGCTTATCGGTATGGCTTCCAGCCAACTACGCTGCCACATGGTACAGGATTGATTGAAGTTCCGGTAGGCGGTCTGATGTGGCAATATGTCAAGAGCGTCACTTGTATCCCATCGACTGCTACAAGGCGACAGTATAATGGTCTCCAGCTTTTCTCTAAATTCTCCGAGATATGAATTTTTTAACTTGCGGATATAGTAGAAATAAATCGGAATAACGCCTGATTAGTTCTTCCCCCGCACTCGGATGTACTGTCGCCTTGTAGCAGTCGATGGGATACACCCTAAAAGAAATATTACATCAAGAACTAAAGTAGATAACTTTAGTAAGTGGTTGCAGTTTCATCGTTCGATTTGAATCATCATCCACAGAATACTAATAATCCGTTGATGGCCCAGCGTAAATATCCGAGTCCACATGCGGGTTCATTCTTATGACGGTTCATTCCAACGTACTCGATTACTGTCCCATTTACTGCGGGTGTGCAACAGAAAGGTTATCATAGAGAGCCCCGGTTCGGAACACTCGCACTCCCGTGGTACCCTTTGTACTCTTCGAAACGACGTGTGTCAGCTTAGGGGCGCTCATATCATCAACAAAAACTTTGACCTCCTTGTTAATGACAGTCACCCTTAAATGGTAGTCTGTTCCAGTCTGGATCGGCGTCTGGGCAGATGCTAGTTGAGTCCAACTCTGGTCCATTTGACCTAGAACGACCTCGCCTGATGCGTCAATTGCAGCGTAGAACCCAGTCAAGCTGTCGATTCCTGCTGAAGCACTCGTAACGCCGAAAAGAACTCCCGCATCACCGGAATCTTGAGCGTTTGACCCAACATCTGGATCAACGAGGGCGATGTCGATGTCAAACACCAAATCCTCGAATCCTGTGTTCTGAAGGGCCTTTCCACTTGTGGCCTTTTCCGCCTTAAGCTTCCCGTCCTTGACTGAGAAGGACCCTTCAAAAGAGGTGTTCCAGCCAATCAGGTTCCCGTCCTCAAAGTTGTCCTTGACCAGCATCGTAACTGGCTTGATTGTCCCATCCTCATTGAAGTACATCCTATCATAGGCAAGATGACGATGGTTGCCATCACTATCGCCTAATGGCCTGCGGTGATAGAAGATGTACCAGATGTCCGTTCCGGGGACTTTGATGACCCCGTTATGGCCAGAACCAGTTGCTACAGCGGTATCCTGCTGGAGAATCTTGGCTTCCCGGTTAAAAGGGCCAATGGGTGAATCCGAAATGGCGTATGAGACTGAGTAATCCGGGCCCGTCCATCCCCCTTCAGACCACATGAGGTAGTACTTCCCATTGCGCTTGAACATCAGGGAACCCTCCACATAGTTCTCGGGTGTGATTTCTTTGAACTGGCTCCCGTCTGAGAAGGTGCCGATGCTGACCATATCGCTGTTCAGCTTGGCAACATTGGCATGCGCGTGGCCACCATAGTAGATATACGCCTGACCATCATCGTCGATGAAGACATCTTGATCGATGGGTTGTGCCCCATTATAGTACTCGCCAATGAGCGGCTTCCCGATCGCATCTTTGTAAGGGCCCTCGGGCTGGTCTGCTACGGCAACACCAATACCGCCAACCTGCTTTTCTCCCTCTTGGATATCATTGGCTGCAAAGTACAGGTAGTATTTTCCGTCGCGTTCAATATGGGCGGGCGCCCACATGGCTCTGTTTGCCCAAGATACCTGGGCTTTGGTAATGATGTCCGCATGTTTGGTCCAGTGCACTAAGTCGGTCGAAGAGAAAGCATCTAGATAGGTCTGCTCGTCATAGGCGTAGGATGAGGTCGGGAATACCCAATACTGGCCCTTGTAGACGCATGTGTCGGGATCGGCGTACCACCCGTCCACGAAAGGGTTGCCGGCTTCCGAAGTGGTGAAATCTGGGAGCGCTCGCCTCATGGTTGCGGCGTATGAACCACTGGAGAAGAGAATTGCTGTCGTGTAAAATGGTAACTTCATTTTCGGCGAGTCTGAGTGTCAGATGTTGAGGTGGCGTTATTGAGGGGTAGCGGCTGTGCATTCGGAACAAAGACTGCCTTTTGTACGTACAAATGCTACCTTGACCTTGAAGTCGCGCCCAATATTATAGAGAGAAAGCTTGCATTGCTGCGTCACGTTGCTGCAAGAGGGCACATCGCACGTTTAAATGACATTTTTGGATTCCCAAAGTCCAGCTTACCCAAGTCCCCTAATAACGTGCAGGAGGATTTTAGCGCTCATCTGTAATTCTGCTGCCTGGCGGCCATGACACCCTAGGGGAACTTTGGAAGCAATTATTTTAATGCTAATCCACCATGACGATCACTCTCGAGTACTAGACACGGGGTTAAACGTGTTCTTTTGACGAATTGGGACCAAGGAACCTTCCACTGAAACGCTGTATACTCAAGCTACTCTTTCAAGCCTTCTAGAGAAGGATTGGCAATTGCAACATTGTCTGAGTAATTATTGGAAGAAACTTTGGACAATTGCTGTGCAAAGAGAACAACGAGAACTTTTGTACTTAAAATGCTTGGAACTACTTTAGTCTTCTGGATAACTCCATAGAACCACTGTACTCCGTCTCATCGTGTCCTCGTTTGAAAACGCCAGGTGGTATCGTTGCATTCCCTCTCTTTGGGTCAAACCTCACATCACCTACTTTCCACGGCCTCGGGACCTGGTTATGTTGACCCGCCCGAGTCTCGGTCAATGGGTCCTTCCACTCCGCTAACTCCAGATCAGATCTTGACCTCCTCAAACCTGGGCTCGCTACGGTAGCTGTTGCAATCGAGGCTGCTCCTAGACGGCGCATCATGGACTCTTCGTCACTAGCGAATCGAGCCGGTGGTGCTTTGTGGTCCCGTACCAATGCTCGCAGTATTGGTATGGTTGCAGCGATGATGGTGACAACACTTTCTGCTGCACCCCAGATCACCAACTCGACAGTATCGATAATGTCGAAAGCTCCTATCGCAGCAATCGTTCGGATCTTGATAAAAGATACAGCACCGGCGCTGGTAGAAGTATTCGTCAGCCACGTGGATCCCAACTTCCAAGCGGATCGTTGAAGCACAACTCACAATACGCCCATGCTCATAGCAATTAAAACACCAAATTTCTCTTTTTTGGTCATAGTAAGCCCCCATATAATCTTCCAAGGCAAGATGGCCAGTACGATATCCATCCCTCCAGAGTACGATGCCGTGAAGACGTTGTAGTTCATCATGATGCTCTTCGGCCAGCAGGTGCCAGGTGTTGAGGCTGTCCTCCAAGTCTTCTCAACAGGCCAACATTGTATCCAGGTGAAGAGCACGTTGACGCCGAGGAAAGTGTTGATTGAGATGATGATGAACCATACAAGCAACTTCATCCATCGTTCGGATGATTCTCGTGTGATTCGAAGCAGGGTCAGCGCGAAAGACGTCTTGCTCCAAGCTGCTGCGATGATTGAAAACGACCCAGAAAGGTTGGCGTAGAGTAATAGCCATGACCAATTTCCCGGTGTGATATCCCAGTTATGCTTGCCAAAGTCGTATGACACGTCGATAGAGATGAACGATCCCAGAGCTAGCAGAGCGCACTAATCAAGGCGTCGTTAGGTACTGGCAACTTCGTCATCAGTCGCAATCGAGGTAGTCTTACCCACGATGCAACCAGCACATGGTCGTCTAACCACAGTCCTCTTCCACGCGAGAACTTGCAGTATATCCGTAGGCCTATAAATGCACCAGCAATACCAATAAGAGTCCATACTGTGGCGAGCAACCCTGGGCCATAGTCGTCGTGTGGGAGTTCGTCCCAAGGGGTATCGTCCATAACCACGAGATGTGCTCAATCACGACGTGGTGTCGAGAACCACCGCATGCAGAACTCTTCTATGCCGCCCCAGCTGCCAAGGGGCAAGGTGGTATAAAATGGTCCCAAAGATCGAAGAGATCCCCGAACAGGGACCTTGGTTGCGTCTGAAAGGCGATGCATGGCTATAAAAGAACTGGTCAAGTGGCCTTCCCGCCCCTTGTCCTCCGCACATCACCCGAAAAAAGGAGTTCAGCCGGTAGACCAAACGCTACCACGACAGTTTTATGGTTCCAAGGTAGTCGATCCTTCAAGGGTTGCAGTGCGACATCACTCGTCGGCTCACCCGCTGTCTAGCAATTGGAGAAGAAGGGGTGCCCCTGAGTGTCAGACCCGGAAGCGAGATGAAGTAGCAGCGAACAGTATCATCCCCCGCACTCCCGCCCGGCCGAAAAGTCAGAGCACGGACGGATCGGGCTCTCCCGCAGGGTGACAGCCGATGGAACTGGCGGCACGAAAGATGAATCAATTCATCGTGGCGAGCTTCGCATGCATGGCTGTGGATTTCCCACCAAGGCCCTTCGAGAGAGGAAAGCTCTACGGAGTAAAAAGTGCTCTCATACCACCACGTATGTACGCTCGGGCCTGGACAAGGGGCTTGCCCATGGTTCTGTCTCATCGAATCCCGGATTACAGCTTGGCATGGCCACGAGTATCATGAACACGACCTCCAGAGTCCGATATATGAAGGAGATTCACAGACCAGTCTACCCAAGACATAAGGCGTACGAGTCGATTGACTCGAGAGCAATACCCCAGTCATGTTGCCTTACTGTGTGAACTTTGAGGATTCAAGTTCACCGGAGTGGAGTCTTTCGACTCAATGCCCCGACCGATCTCTGTAGGACAGCTTAGCAACTGTTTGAACTCCTCAACTCCTTTCAACTCACCCTCCCAGAGTTCGTCGGAGTATCCTTCTATTTGAGGGCGCGGTAGTGCAAGATCACTCATGCAGGCCTCATGATGAGCTCTACAACTACCTCTCACAAATATCTGAAGCTGTGATTGACTCAAATGTTGGTGCTCTGCACCATTACCCAGCGTGAAGGGGCCAGATGAAAACCAAATGAGATACTCTAATCTACATTTTCAGGCTGCCAGTCGGACCCGGGCTTAACCTCAGTATTTACGACCATTTACTCACTTTAACCGCAGACAGTTACATCCTGCATCCGCGTTTTCACCTCCTGCAAGACTCTTGCGCCCATTTGCAGTCAGGTTTGTTCAGCCCTTTCGCCTGTGCCTATGGACCCTTGGCAACATTGAGCAGACCGAAGCGCAACCCTCTCCAGCGGGCATGCCGCCTGCGTGAGTTTATTTCCGGTTCTAGACCACCAGAAAGAACCGCAAACAGCAACTTCACCCGGACATCCCGGGAAGCAGGCCATTCCTCGGTCGGCTTGGTATTGGTCTCGATTGCTTCCATGATTTCGGAGAGATTCCCCCTTCAGCTCGGAAGAGGGCTTCCGTGCTCTCGGCCTGAACCGAATTGGAGGCATTTCCCAACTCCAGCACACCAAGTCGCTGAAATAGGAAGCAGCACCTCATGGGCTATCTGAGAAGTTTCAATCTGTTCCGCCATCGGCTGGTTTCGTGTACGATCATCCGAGTAGAGAAAAAAAAAGCCAAGTCCGCTCGATAGTAATCCCACGCCACAACGAATCACTCACAATAAATCGATCAAGTCCTTTGCCTGTCTCTCTGGAAGCCCCTGCACAGCTTGTAGTATCCTTCCCGCACGATCGCTATCATAGATAGACGCGGTCAAGCCTCTGAATTTCTTCTCAACTCGCTCGTGCGAAAAGGGATGCTCATCCTCTCCCAGGGGATACACCATCGCTTCTTCGATATCGCCTACGCCACCTATGCCTGAAAATGCCATCCGCACCTCGAATTCTTTCCCGAGTGTGTGGTCGATTTGGACCTCAATCCTATCGCACAGCTGTGCAACTTGCTTGCTCTCCATCTTGTCGGTATCGTATGCACCCCAGCCGATGTCGCTACCGAAAAGCCACGCAACAGCGACTTGGTAGTAAATGCTGAACTGAGCATCGACGATGGTTTTGGGGTGCTTCTTGTTAGGACTGGGCTCACCAACGATGCCATATCCAGCTCGAGCCAACCCTAGGACTATTCTGTCCGGCAGCTTCTGTGAGTCGGACTTTGCGGCAAGTCTTGCTGTGATTTCGATGGCGGTATGAGTAAACCGACATGCGGGGAAAGGCTTCAGTGCTGTCGCTGGGTATATCCATTCCATCCCAAGGCTTTCGGTCAATCCAACGGCGTTGACGTTTGCAGAATGAGCTTGCAAGAAGCCCCATTTGCCCTCAACGATGTGAGAGGCCCCAGTCACGCCAGCCTCCGCGAGAGCAACACAGAGGAAGGCATCGTGGGCGGCGAAGCCAGGATGTAATCGCTTGTTCCAAGATCCATTGTCGAGAAACTGCATCGAACCAGCGGTCTTGGAGCCCGCTAGGCCGAACGCATTGTAAACTTGTGCAGACGTCAGGCCCTTGATCTTGCTGATGGCAGCAACCGCTCCGAAGATACCAGCCGTGCTGGTGTTGTGGAAGCCTCGAGGGTATCCACCATTTGACAAAGCACGACCGAGACGAGAAGCAACCTCGTACCCAACGGACAACGCCGTGAGCAGTAAGGTTCCAGGGGCATCTGACACCTCGGCCTGCGCTAAGGCAGCGGGAATGACACTGGCGCCAGTGTGAATGATACCAATAGCGAGCGTATCATCGTAGTCGAAAGAATGCGCAAACGCTCCGTTCAGCAAAGCTGCGATTTGGATGGGATAAGTCTTTTCTTTGCCGTAGACTTTACTCTTTCCAATCGAGCCCATGGCGAAAGCCTCGACGCCCTTGATGATGTGCTCACTCGACTCCGAATGGGCACCTCCGCCGGCCCCCACTCCGACATGATCAATGACGAGATCGAAGAGTTTTGCGAGGGCCTGGTCTGGGATATCCTCGAACTGAGTCCGGACTATGAAGTCGCAAAATCTCTCTGTCGCATCTTCTGCGCCTGGGAAGCAGTGATACTATTTAATTTTAATCTTGTGTGGCAAGGAGAAACAGAAACTACTCGCATAGAAACTTACGTTGTGATTTTGTGCCATTTTATGTTCTGGTGCGTGTTGAGAAGAAACATGCGATTTACGTCGAATTTGTTTGTAGCCGGGTAAGATGTTATTGCCATAAACTAGCCCCAATCCCCAGCTATACAGACATGTAGATATGAGACCGCCTACATGTACTTATGAAGAGTGTCGTCATCACATAGCCGATCGGTTCACGGCTATGCCGGGGCTAAGACGGTATTCAAGCTCAAAATGCGGGGGAGGGGTCGAGCGGATGCATACACCCGGTGCTCCATCATTTAACTATCGACCTGTGGACCAGCGCAGGCACCACGTCGATTGGTAGGTACCTGATGCAGAGTACCTAATGTCTAGTATCGTTATCTATGTTCGATCTTCTTGGAAACTCGACTTGTTGACTTGTGAGAATGGAACTAATCGATCTCTCTGTTACTATCTACCATTTGTTGAGCTTGAATCTGATGTTCTCGTCAGAAGTTTGCACATATTTTTCTTAAGATGGTAGTGTTGACATGAAGTAAGGTAAGACAGATTACATGCTTAAGCTCAACGTAGGTAGCAGAATCGCAAGCATGACATTGAGACGTTTTAACTGCTGCGATGAATTACTACTCTTGACTCTGGAGCGCTGAGCCGGGCATTAGAGACATAGAAAGGTCCGTCTTAGTTGGGCTCATTTTGTGACCCTACTTCCATTCAAAAGGCACCTGGGAAACTCCCCAAATTTCGAAGTAATTGTTGTTTACCTTGATGAGCATCACCAAGCTGGTCTAACAACGCGAGTTTGCCTTGGGAACTCGCTTCTGAAGTCTCCTGGAAGAGGTGCGCGGACAGGAGATGCTGGTACACATACTTCAATAGGTTTTAGATATGACAATTCAGGCCTTAATTCTGCGTGTGAGTGTTTCTGTCATTCTCAAATGGTCTGAGCCTTTGTTGCAGCTCTAGAGCCATTTGGGCCTGGCAAGCATACTAGAGTACGTGAACATCTGCTTCTAGTCTCCTTTTTTTGTGTGTCAATGTTATGTTCGAATTTACCTAGTCAGCTACTCCCGGACTTGTGAGCCAGAGGTATGATATGATCGAAAAGTCTTGAACTGTTTACAACATATCTCCGCTCGTAAAAGGAGGCAAGAGACTAGCCTTTTCAAGCACAAAGATCACACGCTACCATACCATTGCCAGGTATCCTAATCAATTCCTAGATCTCGATCCAAAATAATGAACAGTCTGAGCGCCTGGCAAGAACTGGCAGACAGCTCCGGCCTGCAAACACTTCAGTGAGAATTTATCAAAGCCGACATTGCCTTGGTCAGAGTCTACGACAATTACTTAGACCCCCAGCTCAGCATTTTTAACTTTCCCTGTCCAGCTTTTTGTGACTTAGAACGATCGAAGTGCTATTTGTATGAGATCTCCCAAGCTCTGGTAGGTGGGTTTTATTTGGCTCCAGGTGGAAGAAGTAGGAGGGCTAACGTCCTGTAGGAGGGTTGATCTCCTGTCAGATGTGTAAGCTGACAGACAAGCTGTACAATCTGGGCAAACTTTGCCATGCATGGTAGAGCAACTCGTGTGGCCTGCCAAGCCCTGTGGCTTTGGGGCGAGCCTGATCCCTTCAACAATCAGCACTAGAGCAATCTCGGTCGCATCGCCTCATGATTCGACCCTGGGATTGGGATCCTTTTGTTTGCTTTAATGTGCGACTGCACATCCTCGCCGAACAAAGCCATGGCCGATAGTCGACAATTTCGACTGTTTATTCACTCCATGAAGGCACTTCGAGTACCAAAACTTGAGCGGGCGATTTCCCGACTGAGCATCGTTGGTTGCCCGGAGATGGGTCGACCCGAGAATGCAAGAAGAGCGTGTCATCCCGCCCTCTCCCGCACCACATAGTAAGCTGCTTACCCCCTCCTCGGCCACAGCCGACCGCTGCATCGTAAAAGTTTTGCATTTCGTCCGTCTGTTGGTGTGGTCTCTGGCCGGTCAGCTCTGCACGGTGAGTGGGCCAGGCATCCAATTCGACCGGGATCCTGCATTCTGCTTCCAACAGTTCGTCTGACTGGCGAAGACTGGACGGGGTTCGATTGCTGAATATTCTCGGTTGGCCTGCCTATTTCAGATAGCTTGGGGGCTGCGTTGTCTGCATGTTGGTGTTGAACATCACAGTACAGGGCATATCGTATGCGCGTGAGACTGCGCCCCCCTCCCTTTGTCCTGGATTCTGCCAGTCAGACACCGGGGAGGCTTGAGATGAGGAGGAAAAGGTTGCACAGAAAATCCATCTGTTATGTTACACGCGGGTAGGGCCTGTCTTCATAGAGCTGAGAAGTCCCCCTCAATCTGCGGGAGCCTTTTCTTTTCCCTTCCCCTGGGGGTTTCGGTTCTGCTTCTTCCGACTTTCATCTCATTCCACAACACCCGACCAATGCCGTTTGCGACTCGATATTGAGCGACTCAAGTTCCGCCCACTAACGTTTTCACAATGTTAGCTTCAATGCTAGGAGTGGTCTTGAGCCTCTCACTTTACTCTCTCGGTGTCTTGTCACAAGAAGCGTCGTGTTACGCACCGGACGGCACCCTCGCGGATAACGAAACGTACGTTCCGTGCAACAAACTCGGTATCAACCAGGCTGGAGTCTTCTCGAGCTGCTGTGCTCTTGATGGTCCTCCAGAACAACGCGATATCTGCTCCTCTTCCGGTCTCTGTATCAATCGTCAGCAACAGCCGCAACGCGGCTTCTGCACCGACAAGACGTGGAAGAGCAAGGCTTGCAACCATGTCTGCACTGATATCCAGGTACGTCCCGAACTACTGGCATTGTTTAATTCCATGAGAAACAAAGAATGACAGTGAACCTTGTGTCTCAGACCGGCGGGAACCCGAGCAACATCAGCTTCATGACCGCATGTAACGACGGCACAGCCAAGTATTGCTGTGGACAATCAAACACCACGTGCTGCGGTACCAGTGAAGCGTTTACAATCGCTACTCAGGAGGCGGTATGCACAGCGAACACGACCAACACCGATGGAACTACAGATGATGGGTCCGCGTTCAAAGGCGCCACTATTGGTCTCGCTGTCGTCGCCGGTGTTTGCCTCTTGGCCGGTCTGGTATCAACCTTTTGGCTCTGGAACCAAAACAAGAAACTAAAGAAGGAATTGGCCGAAAAGGCGGAAGCTCCGAGCCAACCGATGGAACCGCAATACACCGGCGCAACGAGTTCGTATGCTGCAACCTCGCCACCAACAGGGTATAAGCCTCCGTACAGCACATCACCGCCCCCAACCATGTCGCCAGGCTCAGAGTATCATTCAAGCAACATTCATCGATACTCTGAATTGGATGCATCAGCAGCTGTGGCGAGGAGCGAGATGGGATCGCCTTCTCCATATGACCAACAACAACATCAGCAGGGCCGGGACTCGCCGGCTCCTAGTCACCAACACGGACATGGGCACCGGCATGAGAGTTACGGGAGCCCAATGCACTCACCGAATCTGCCTCAATCATAGGCGGGACGATAGTAGGTGGAAGGATATTAGGTTGAGGTTGATTTGGCATTGAATGTTGCATCATCTCACGTCTGGGCCAGACGAGATGTGTTTTCTCGGGGACTGTGTTAAATAAAGTAGATACGGATTGAGTCACGTGAATTACTCGAGAGCTTCGTTCTCTCTGACAATCGAACTTTTTTAGTCTCTGATATAACCATTATCTAGCGTTTGTCATTCGAACTCCGACTCATCTTGGTGATTGCGTGCATGCTTTCGCGAGCACCGGAGGTCTTCAAGCAACCGAGGCAAGCTTCCCCCTTGGCTTTCATCAACCCGCAGTCGGAGCAGAGATGACGCCTGTACCACTCATCCAAAATCTCGGGCTCACCAGCCGCAATCGTGCAACAATGGCGACACCGGCGCCGCCAGAAACGATCTGGCTCTTCCCCTATGAACTGTAGAGTCTTGTCGAGGAACTTGGCAGCAGGTTTGACCTTGAAACAGCTGTAACATGGGTACGTGTATGTCTTCCCTAGCATCTCTCTCGACTCCGGGCCGAGACTTTCATCTACACTTTCGAATATTTCTCTGTATACCAGCTCAACCAGAGGCGCTTCTCTCGCGAAGACAAAGGTAAAGCGTCTGTGAATGGCTACCCAGTCAAGCTTGACTTGATGCATCATCGAGCAGCTGGCGATGCGTAGGTGGATGGCGTCGAGATAATCCAATTGGCCGATAATTAGCCGGAGAATCTCCCCAGAAAGAAGTTCCAAAGGCGAGAATTCCTTGTCTTTGTGGCACTGTCTGTTGACGATAATGCCTGATTCGCGATTGCCCCGACACCTATTGAACTCTGTACCAAGAAATCCACAGCCATGACAAGGGAAATACGAGACTCTATCCTTTTTGACAGGCTCTAGGTCGGCATAGTAGTTGTTCTCGATGGCGCAGGTCCAACAGCGGCGCGATTTCCGGAACGTTTGCGTGTGTGCCCGCTGCTGTCTGCTTTTCTTCGCAGCCGTGAGGCTATCCCCGAATTTGGACCTCGGAAAGACTTTCAGGCATTTATAACAAGCCCAAAACTCGTTTCGATGATCTCGGTCAACTCTTTGAATTACTTCCAGTCGTTCGGATGCGGGAATCGCATACTCTATCTTTGGATAAAGTGCCTCGTAGAAATGTCGGTTTGTGGATGTTAGAAGAGTTGCAGTAGGGTAGTCGCAGAAGCGGAGCACTTCGTATTGAAGGTCATAAGAGAGCTGTCCAAAAGGAAAAGTCCGGACTGGCGGGCCTGTCGAGTGAGTTTGTTCTTCCTTGAGTTTTGCCGCGTCGACGTGACACATTGCTGCTTCAGGTTGCGCCGCTTCGACCTTGGGTTCTGGGAGGTGGATATTTGAGGCCATAGCTAGAATTTTTCAGGGAATCTGACATATTATGTGTTCCAATAGATGGTCGAATTTTCTAAATGTCTGGTAGCGAAAGTGGCCGTGCCGCTTGTGCTAACAATTGAAGTATGCTAAGTACGTAGCGATCAAGCAACAGGGGGTGCCGGGCGGAGTGGACGAAAGAATCAAGAATGCTTCGAAGTGACCGAGGAAGGTGAAAGATAATTTTGTGCATGGACTTTTTGACATGGACTTCACTTGATATATTATTTAATTCAGTCCTCTTTTTGAAGATGACGCATTCGGCGGGAGTTCTACACAAACTATCAGACTCTTGGAGTGAGTCATCCGATAAGGACTTCTGTGTCCTTTTCTTGGCCAACGATCTCCGTAACACAGAACATTTCCAACTTGGTCGGTATGGAGTCTTCTCTTTTTCAGTCCCCGCTTACCTTGAATAAAGTACACTAGAGCGAGAGCCTGCCTATTCTGGGCGTGGACTATAGCCTCCCCGATAAGACAAGATCGTACATCACGGAGCAGTAATCTTTGGACGAAGGCATGCAAATTATATGTACCTGATGGCTTCAAAGATATGTACACGAATCCTCTACCGTCTCAATGGGATGCTATCATGAGGAATACCCTTCATATCTCATCCTTCTTCCTTCATAGCTGCATGAAGACCCTCGTCTAGACGCACTGACTATAATAGTCATTCTGCTTCTGGCAGGTGAGGCCCGACTGGCAGGTAGTAGAGCCGGTGAACCCGTTGCCGCCGCACTGAGCCCAGCGAGCGGCACCGCCAGTGGCAGCAGCCGCAGGAGCGCTGGAAGCTGCCTCAGCAGTAGCACCACCACCGCACTTGCTCTTCACGACAGTGCTAAGTGTAGTGGCGGGCGCGGGAGTCGCAGCAGGAATGCTAGCCTTGGGGGTGGTGACAGGCACAGCAGGGGCAGAGCTCTCGGGGACGGAAGGCTCAGCAGCAGGGACGGAGGGCTCGGCGGCAGCAGACTCTGAGGTAGGGGCAGCAGCGGCGCTGGTGGCAACTGCTGGAGCAGAGGTGGCAGGAGCAGCACCGCCTTTGCCGGCGGCGGCGAGAAGGCTGGAGATGCTGGTGTAGGCGGGCTTAGGCTTAAGGTCCTTGTCCCAGGGGAGGGCCTCGCCGGTGCCGGGGAAGACTGAGGGAATCCAAGAGTACTTGTCGGTGTAGTCCCAGATGGTGACGCCAACACACTCGGCGATGTCCAAACAGGCGCCGACAACGCTGACATAGTCAGTGGCTTGCTGTTCCTGGGCAGCAGTGTCGGCGGGGATGGCCTTGTGGCGGATGTCAAGCTCGGTATAGGCGACCTCGGTAACACCAGCGTCGACGTAGGACTGGAGGACGGCGCTCAGGGCAGAGCGGGAACCGGCGCTACCAACAATGAGATGGGCCTGGAGGCCGAGACCGTCAATGCGGGCACCAGAGTCCTTGATGTTCTTGATGATGTTGAGGACCTCCTTCTGCTTGTTACCGGCCAGCTCGATGTTGTAGTCGTTATAGTAAAGCTTGGCATCCGCATCGGCAGCAGCGGCGGCCTTGAAGGCGATGGGAATGAAGTCTGTTCCGAGAACCTTGTAAAAGACACTGTCGCGGTAGGTACCGTCCTCGTTAAGGGCTTCGTTAACAACGTCCCACGCATAGCACTGGCCCTTGTAGTGGCCAGCGACGTTGGAGATGTGAGTGTCGATGATGGAGGTCAGCTGCTCCTTGGTCCAGGTGCCGGAAGACACCCAGGTAGGGAGCTGAGAGTGCCAGACGAGGGTGTGGCAGCGGAGAAGCTTGCTGTTGGTCTTGGCGAAGTCGGCGATCTCATCGCCAGAGGTGTAGCTGAAGACTCCCTGGCTCTTCTCGGTGAACTGCCACTTCTGGCCGTTACCAGGGGTGATCTGGCCAAACATCTTTGCATCCTTCAGGATCTCGACGTAGGCCGTGTCGGTGAGCTCAGAGTTATCCGTGGCCGTGCCAAAGTACTTCTTGCCGGCCGCAACGGCGAGCTCGTGCAGGTTGGCGCTGACACCGGAGGCGAGCAGGCCGGCTGCTGTGATGGTTGAGAAACGCATGTTGGCAAGGATATTGGTAAAGAGAGACTTATAGAGAGAGACTGGTAGAAAGAACGTAAACTGTTACGTCAAGGTAACAAGAAAAGAATGGAAGTGGATGGCAAAAGACGACGAAAGAGAGACCAAAGATAGGCCACTGTGCATCATGGCGGGAATCGAGTCGTTTTTCAATGTTCGTCCTCTTGACCCTTTCCTTACGCCCTTAGTCGCTTCCATCCCGCCCCAATCTACCTAATGCTGGAGGCTTGAACCATAGCAGCCGACGATCCGGGAGGCTCCATCCCCTGCAACGGAGAATCAGCGTATTGGCTGAAAGATGTCGCTTCCTTCGGCCAAAAGATGAAAGGGGTTCAGAACTGTAGGGCCAGGAGAGGATCTCCCGATGTGTTCTGGGGATCCCACCGGTCGTATCAGGGATGATGCTGGCGCGCGGGTGCAAAAGAGCTGAACATGGGCCGTCCTGTGGCCTAGTGGTCTTCACCTGAAGGCGACAGAAAGCTTTCCACTCTTGAGCAGGACAGAAACAGGCCAAACGAACCAGCTCATTGTGCCATCCGGACAAAAGCGGTTAAAACGGAGCTTGCCCCGCTCCGCCCCTGAATTTCCGGTGCTTCGGGGGGTCCACTTGCGACCATTTCGGGCCTTACGCCGGCAAGCAATTTGTTTACACGAAACACGCCATCTTTACGCTTTCAAGCATATCACCTTATTCACGACACCGTTCCATAAAATAAGGAGACGTCTTGACAACTGCCAGATTTGCTAAGGTGATTCTTTTGGTGTGAATGAATAGGTCTTGCCGGAGGTGCAAAACGCATGGCATACCTAGTACTTTATCGACGTCAGTGGCTGACTGCGTCTTTCTTGCTATAAGGACTGATAAACTTAACTCAAGATTGGTCCACAAAAAAAGTCAGAGTTAAAGGAATAATTTAAGTCTTGACCAAGACAACCCAGTTATCACTATAGCATTGTAAATAAGGAGGATTTTGAGAACCATCTTGATTATTGCATATTAAAGATAGTCCTATCGCTGGATAAAATATTACTAATTATTCAGAAGCCATCCATCAAGGAGCGTAGTAGGTCTTGTTTAAAGACTTTGCGTTCGTGATTATCCCATAATAATGGTAAGTTCAATTCCTCCTTGTCATATTATCATTCTCCAAGTTCCATACTCGGCTGCGATTGTTGAAAGTTCTGCGAGTCTTGCTCAAGCTGTTGACCGATTAAGATGAGTTATCATCAAAAGACCGGCCAATGGAGTATTGTAAAGAGTCATTGGGCCCTTTAGAACTGGACATCGGGAGTAGCGCCGATGACGAGGACGGGGTTGAGCTTGACCTGGGCGTTGCGGACGCGGTCGACAATAGCCTGGGCGTTGGCAGTCAGGGTAGCAGCAGTAGTGAGAGCAAGGTTGCTGGCGGTTCCGATGGTGGCGAGTGTAGTGGCGGCGGCAGCCTGGGCCTGAACCAAAGCAGGAATGAGGATCGCGTTCTGGGCAACTCCGGCGACAGTTCCAGCGTTGGCGGTGACTTGAGCCTGGAGAGCGGCGATCTGAGCAGTCAGGGCTCTGGCGAGTGCCTGAGCTTGGCGGACGAGCTATGATAGACGTGTTAGTGATGAACAATGTAGAAGTGGATGTTTGATCTTACAGCTTCAGCCTGACCACCAACATCGGGAGTAGCAGGGGCAGTAGGGCTGGGAACAGGAGGGATCGCGGTGGGAGCAGCGGCGACAATGCTGGCGACGTTGGCAGCGATGGCAGCGGCGTTGGAGCTCAGCTGAGCAACAACGGCTTGGACCTGATCAGCGGCCTAGATGTCGGGATTAGTTTCATGTATGTTCTATCAACTTTGAATAGTGATAGCCTTACAGCTGTCGCAGTGCCGGTAGCCTGAAGGGCAAGGCTGTTGGCGAGAGCGGTGGTCTGGGCAATCTGGCCAGTAAGGACCTGAAGAGTGCGGAAGGCCAACTCGTTGGCTCCAAGCTCGGCAGGGTTGAAAGAGATGCCAGGAGTAACAATGGTTCCAGGAGTGATGGTAGCACGAGGAAGAACGGCTCCCTGAACTGAAGCGAAGGAGAAGGCGGCGAGCGCGGCGGTGAAGATCTTGGACTGCATGTTGGCGGTTGGTGTGAGGTTGATGTGTTATGAAGATGGTATTGATGAGGAGAACTGTTCAGATGGTTGTGTCTGAGTGTTGAGTGTTGAGATGCTTTGTAGGCTGATGAGGGGAGAAGAAGATATGATAAGAAGGGAGACGTTGACACCTCTTATAGTAAATTGAGATGCTGTCTTCAAGCCCACGATACCCACAATATCAACGTTTTGGAGATTCGATGCTGAGAAGTTCTCAAAATGTCTGAAAACGAGCATCACTCTACCAGAGGCGGTGGGTAAGCGTAGGGTGGCTTGCTGGGCATGGCTCTTTCCGCGAACTAGGAGTTCCACCCGAAGCTCCGGCTAATTCGAGTTGCACAACGCTCCTCATCTTTGTGAGCCAACAAGATGTCATTGCCGAGCATCAACTGCAAGGGATTGTCTCTTTTCCGTCTGCAGAGGAATGACGAGACAACAAAACCCCTCCGTAAGACTCGAGGCGGACGGACGAACTGGTGGAGGCACGCTAAGGGATGGGTCCCGATCTTGATGTCGGAGGCCTGGGCTGATCTAGAAGGGGCCGCGTTCCTCGGCATCCCACTATCCTTCTCCATCTCCTCCAATAGCTTCAGTCAGCAGACAATGTCTTCGAAATAATTACCGCTTGTCTCAATTTGATGTCAGGCGCTGCCAAGGCGTCGAGCTAAACCCCAAGAAGGTCGAGTCATCTTGGCTTTCCCGGGCTGAACTACCGCGCGGCATCGAGATGGTGGATTCGGCATACATCTTTGAACTCTTACCATGGTAACGGAGCCTTCCATCATCTTCTTGAGATGCACCGGGCGCCGGGTCCGATGCTTGTGCCTGTCTGAGATGAGGTGATGATCTGCCCCGTCATCTTGTAAATCATTCCTGTGTTAAGATGAGAAGTTTTCACTGTCCTATATTCTGTGTAACGGGGCAAGGCTCGCAGTGATGGTAGTGTTCATCGGTGTGAGATGACGACACGGCAACGCTCCCGCATAGCCAAAGAAAACCTACACAGAATCTCTTTGGAAACGCCTCTGGGCGGCAAGACACTCCCGCCCGGGCGCCAGCTGAAGAGAGTCAAAGGAGTCTGAAAGCCCAGTAAGACACACGAGTTGCACGGAATCTTCCTCACAAGAATGCTGAGCGGGTGAGGCGTCTCCTCTGCTGTCATTCCCTGAGGGCCCTATTTCCAGTCTCCTCCCCAAGAAGACCTCAATCCCCTTGCAGGGAGCTGGGAACGGACAGTTTGTTGACTCCTCTTTCAACTTGTCACCGCATGTGGCGGGAGTGGATGTGGTTGGGTCTGAGATGTCTCAGGGTCTACTGGAGTTTCCCGTGGACGATGGTCGTTGTCTAAGACCATTTAGTATCCACGAATCAGTGCTGTTCAAAACAGCCTCTAACCCCACATTCAACGGGAGCAACCCTTTCATGAAGCTCGAGCCCACATAGACGTTATGGGAGCTGGCTATTAGGCAATAGTGACAAGAGCTAGATCTAGCCTAGCCGTGGCTTGGCGGACAGGCTAGGCTCACGGGAAATATGTCAGCGGATAGTTCCCAGCGGGCCGCATTCATCGACAGCGGGGTGGTCGAGCCGGCTTCGATCATCGGACTGAGCTTGTTTCGTAGCGGGACGACGAGTCTTGAGCAATTACCTAAGGGAGATTCCGTCAATGGCACTGTCCGAGACAACGTTTGCGGCCGTACATTGCGGAGAGAAAAGTCCATGTCATGGGCTTGCTAGGGAACTGAACGAGATGACTCAACCACCCTAGAGATTGCATTCCGATCGTAGTGCCAAAATGCGGCCCGATCTGTGGACGTTTCTCGACTTGGTGTTCATCTTCAGTCGGCAAGTCCAAGCTGTAGAATAACGTTTTCAATGCAAAGCCCGTAGTGTTTTGTCTATACTCAGGTCGATTTACTGAGGATAATTCAAATTAAGAGACCTCATTGCAGAAGCACTCTCACTAGAGACGTTAGCTATGTGACATGGCGCCGGAAGTTCTCATCTCTCACCATCTTGATGTGGGACCTGTGGTTTTTTGGACGCCTCGTTGCTATTTTCATTGCTCATGATGTGCTTCAAGCCACCAAGAAACTGCCTGGGACTAAGCTTCACGGCCTTAACAATGCAGTCTTGGCGCGCGTACAGCGCATCTCTCCGGCTTCTCTACCGCTAATGCGCAATAGCGTAGCCATGTGTTCGAGCTCCATGTATGTGTGCACAAAACCGACTACTCTGCTTATGCAATGATTCATGTTCCAGTGTTCATACTGTGATGTCATTCCCAAGAAATCCGACTGCCTTCCCCTCTGTCCGATTCTTGTGCCTCGAGAAGTAAGATCACACTGCTTGTTCAACCTGTGAGACAGTCTCAAGAGGATGAAAGTGCAAAACGAAGATCAATAGTTCTCAAAGACGGAGCACCTTCCATCTCCGTGGTGCTGGATGTTGTCTCCCGCCGGTCTGTGAGACACTTCCCCGGTTCCCTTTGCATGCTTCCGGCCTAAGTGTCATGGCGAACCAGAGGATGATTGGTCATTTTGATTTCATAGGCACACAAATGACGTTGGATCATCCTTTCCCTAGATGCGTTGAGCATGCTTCATGGCGTATCATATTGAGAAAGGTTGATCTTTCAGCAAGCCACAGGATCTATTCCTTGCATCCACAACATGGAGCCCAGACAATGTGTTCAACGGATGAGAGGGGTGCTGTAAGGGGTAAACATTGCTTCCGGCGTGTGATAGAGTCGCGTGAAGTCATCCGACCAGCCGGGCCGAGGGGATCGACTGATCAGCTCGGCAGTCTGGTTAGACGCATACCTTCTTTGAAGTGCCGAGCATGGCCCAGTCCCGGACTCCAAGCCTATGTACACAACAAGTCGCCGAGCATGTGGAACTTCTTCCAACCTTTCCATTCCATCGATGGTGTCTGGGCGGTACATAGCTCTTGGCAGCACATACACCATGGCTTTGAGAACCACGGAGCTGTGTGTCGCCAAGTCTCTCTCAGTGGCGACATGTCTTCTTTGGCCGCTCGCAGTGAGGTAACGAGAATGAAAGGTCCAGGCTGTCTCATACCAAAAACAATGGTTCAGGTTACACAAACTCTAGTTGAGGTTATACAGACTGCTCGTCCTTCGGCTTCACGTCACCCGAAGCGGAGTCAGTCCAGCCAGCCTTAGACACAAGGGAGGATTAGTTGGTTTCTGTTGAATGTCTTGGTCAAGTAGAGACTCTTGTCACGGAGAGAATAATCACACTGTATCTCTCTATACAAGATTGTATTAGAAAAGCATTTGAAGACATTGGCCTATCAGGGAAATGCCGTGGAAGCTCAGCGGCTAAGCAGATTTTGTCGGTCGTGGTCTTGCCGAGGTCTGATGATAATACTGACATGCAATAGAGAAGGGACAGCTTATGGGTAGTAGAGTTTATGGGGTCGTTTGAACACCGATTTGATGGATTGGTGTAATGTGAACTTCGTCATACGTATTCTCCATACGACGATGCGACGGTATAGTGTTTAACTTTTTTCTTCTAATAGTCCCCTAATCATAACAACCATTCGAAATAAATCCAGATCCCAACTTGAGATATTATGTGCCTGCCTCCTTTCCCACTTCTGACAGTTCGGCCGATCTATTGCGTCATCGCATGCGGTATGTACAGAAAAGCTGGGTAATGTATTTCGAGCCAAAGAATCGGCCCTTGTTTGAGATCATGACAAAGTCTCTACGAATGCTTTCGCGCTAGGTTTGTGATCTACTTTTCAGTGGTTCAAAAACTACGTCAACATTGGAAGGAGGGAGTAGTAGATTCAACAGGTCGTATTTGACCAGGATTATGGGTTTATCAACTCTATGTGGAGTCACGTTTTGGGCGTGGCCCACCACAACACCAAAACTTCACGATGTCGAGATATCATCACAAATTCAGCAAAAAAACATACAACACCAGGTATTCGCTGGTCGTCACCGACCCAACTACTAATCCGGCCCTCATTGGCTTGTCTATGGGAGAGCGGACGGGATCCCGAATTTTCCAATGGGTATGGTCGTATGTGGTGGTTGAAGGAGGTGGGATAGATTAAGACGACATCCTCGTGATGACCACGTGAGAACAACAACTTGTAACGAACTAGGATCTCTTCGTTCACTTGATCTATCTAGAAAAAGCAACATTCTATGCTATATTTCTATGTATTCGGTCGCATGTTTACAAGTCGTCAACCAAGGGGCTGAGTCCTTGGGCGGAGCCAATCTTGCTCTCGAAGAAAAGCTTTAGTCTCTCAACACGCTCCCGATCCGCCATGAAACGCTCAAAGTCAATAGGGTTCGTAGAGTTGACGTCCATCAGTTCCGGGAAGCCAGCGGGGGCAGGAATGTCCTTGCGGACGCTCCACATGCCGGTGTTGTTGGGGCTCTGATACTCCTCGCTGAGCAAGAAGTTGTGGAGAAGCTTTGCTCCCTCCTTGTGGGGGGCGTCCTTGAGAATCGCGGCGCGCTGGCCCCAAGTGACGAAGAAACCATTCTTAGGAATGGAAACATTGAAAGGAGCAGTGGGTGCTAGTCCGAGAGCGCCGGTGAAGGTGACGGCGTATGAGTTGTTGGCCTGACCCATGACGGTGGTCGGGGTAGCAGTGCCGCGGACCCAACGAGGGTTTTGGGCGAGGAGATTCTCGAACCAGCTGTATCCGTTCTGCTGCATACTGCTTCCAATTAGTATTCACACATAAAGAAGTATTTATCAGAGGTTGTTGCTTACGCCAGGTCGAACGCATAAAGAACGGCATCATCGTCATTCGGGTAGGTAAAGACCAACTTGTCCTTGTACTCAGGCTTCAAGAAATCCGAGTACTCGACGGGGCCTTCGGAAACCTTTTCGGTGTTCCAGATGTTGGTCCAACCAAACACAACAACCGCATACCACGAAGCCCATACATCACGGAAGCCAGGGTGGATCTTGTCAAAGTCCAACGGT